TTTTTTTTTTTTTTTTTTTTTTTTAAAAAAAAAACAAACAGAAACCCAAAACTTAAAATTAAAAAAAAAAAAAAAAAAAGACGCAAAAAAGACCTGAAACCTAAGGCCATCCGTCTGGATCTCCTTCTTCTCTGGTGTGTTACCTGAGCTTTTGCGATAAGAATGTCAAAAGGGGAACTAGGTCTCTACAGAGGCTTTCCCGGCCAGAGAAGGCAGATTCGTGCTGCTTAAGGAAGGGGCAAAAGGGAAGCACTTCCTGGGCGCGCTCAGCACTTTGATGGCAGCTGGATTCGGAAAAGCCTAAATATTAATACTACAGCCCAAATTTAAAGAGTGCGTGGGTTGGGCACAACTAGTGTAAAGGTTAGCCGGCAGGCAGGGAAACCCCCGAGGGCGCAGGGTGAGCAGGAAAAGTTTCAAATACCCTCCAGAGCCTGGCGATCTGTTCACCGGTGTCCCCCAACCCCGGCCCCGCTCCGACCCCCGAGCGGCTAGATGCTGGAAAGCAAGTAGCCCCATTTTTAAACGTAAACCTCTCCCCCTGGGCTGAAGAAGGCTGGAGTTACCAGCGTTGTAAATAATGTTTGCTTTTTGTTTTCCTAAGCAAGTAAGGGCAGACTGGAATTCCCTAGCCAAGGCCGAGGAGAAAGGAAGGTAAAGGGACAAAAAAGTAACTTCTGCGGGAGAGTGAGGTGACCGGGGGAGGGAGGTGCATGGGGGAGGTAGATCGAAGGACTTACCGCAGCCTCTGCAGGCTGCCCCCAAAGACTGAGGGCCAGTAAGAACAAGCCGGCAGCCAGGCTGATTCCACGCAGTTGCATTCTTCTCCGGCTCCCGCAGCTCCTTCAGCACCCGCACGAGATCCCTGGCTAGCTCGGACCAACTGACATAATCTTGAGGGTTTATGGGGAGAGAGCTGGAGTCGGAGACGGACAGCAAGGGTGTCCCAATTGGGCCCGTGGGCTTAGGTGAGACGAAAGCTTTTTAAGAGTTGAGCGGGGGTAAAAAAATAATAATAAATAATAATAATAATAATAATAAATAAATTTTTTAAATTGGGGGGGAAAAAAGGAGAAGCTTTACTTCCCTCCCCCCTCCCCTCCCCAAAGCCGATCTCTCGGGAGCACTTTTCCCTTCTGTCCGGACTTGCAAACTTTTTCTTCACGCAGGTCCCACAGCTCTACTTTCCTCCCTCTCTCCTCCCGCACCGCCCCCTCCCCACCAGCCCTGGGGAATTTGAGGATCACTCCGCCCCGGCTTTAGCCTGCACCAGCAACCTGCGAGGGAGTGACGCTCAGTTATTTGGAGGAGGGAAACTTTCAGGCCAGTTGACCGAGCACCGTAAGTCCAACCGGGAAGCTTTTCTATTTGTTCACTTGCACCTTCCGTTGGCATTACTCTTCCCTGCCCAGTCCCACTCTCATTCGTGAGATCCCCAAAGCCAATTACAAGTAGACCTTAGCTGGGACTATTTTTTTTCGCGGATGGATCTTGGAGGAAGTGTGTCTTTTATTGTTAATGGTTAGAAAGAAATTTTGGTCGCCGCTCCCAGGGCTGCTGGTGCTCTTTGCCTTACACCTGCTCGCAAGACAGTTTCTACATACAACAGAATATGTGAAAATATTAGAACTATATAAGTATATTTATATTATTAAATATATTCTTATAACCGAAGAATTAAGAAAATGAACATTCATGTATGTGAAGACTTTATGCGTGTTATATACATCTAAGATTGAGGCGCATTCAGGAGATATTAGTAATTATCATATGGTTGGATGTTATTGTAATATAGTCATATATTTTTATTTAACTGCATTGCTAAATGCCATAATTTTTACCTTTTATATTGAACCAACGTAAAAGGTATTGATTCTCATTGCGGTTGTGTTTCAGAAGGATTTAGTACAGGGAATTAAATAACTTTCTTGCAGTTGCCTTTAAAAGTAACACAAACACCAATTGGAAACGTTTATATAGAGTTAATGGCATTTGCACTGATGTTTCCCAAATAAACATTACTTTCGTAATCCTGATCTACAGATTGGTTAAAGTACCAACAGGCCCAGAAAATACTTTGTGTGGACTCCTGGGAAGATCTTTCGGAGATTTGCCCAAGAATTCTTCAGAACATTTCTGTTATCTCAGACCCTAGAATCTGTCACTTGGGAGTCTTTCAAGGCTTTGGACCTATTCATGGGGGCCCTCTCATCCTTAGGTTCTACTCCATTTTGGCTAGATTTCCAACTCCAGAAACCACCACCACCGCCAGCCCCAAGAGCTTAGTATACAATCAATTAGAGCTTAGTATATACAATCAATTAGAATGAGTGTTGTATGCATTTGGGCCAAGTGTGCAAGTGCAGTTTGGGGCCCATTTGTAGAAGTCAGTCCTGTGCCGTAAATCTATTTATGTGTAATTGTTAACAGTGGTTTATGGAAGTGTATGCTGCATAGCTGCTTAGATCTTAGTCTTATAGGTCTCTATGGGCCTGTGCATGAAAACTATGCAGATGCGTGGGAATGTTATGTGCAGAGGTGCCTGAAAGTGAGAAAGACACCCGGCTGCCCAAGGTAGGGGGGGATGATTGACAACAGACAGCCCCGCCCCTTTCCCCTCCATTCCTTCCTCTCCTGGTGTATGGAACTATCTTTTGAGTGCGGCAAGTTGTAGCGGGCACCGCTGAGTGTTTCCCTTTGGGGCACGTCTTATCTAGAAGCTGAATTTAGTTTCTTCCGAAGTGAGTCAGTTCTCCCCCCAAGCCCGTCCTACCGAATAAGGAAGCAGCCGCCGAGCATCAGCGGAGCCCTGATGAGCCTGGGCTGTGGAGCCGCTTAGCAGTCTCCCGGGACCCAGCTCCGGAGGAGCCGCAAGCATGCACCCTGGGTGAGCTGTTGCTGCCCCGAGCTCCCCTCCCTCTTTTCCACTTTGAGCTACTTTGCCGGGCCAGGACTGTAGTTGTACTTATGTCATTGCAGAGAAAGTGGGGGCAGGCAGCAAGAAAGGGTCGGGGGCTATGGACAGACATAGGACCCCGGAGCCTAGAGAGCCCATGTTACTCACCGTTCCTCCTGTTTCAGGTTGTGGCTGCTCCTGGTTACGTTGTGCCTGACCGAGGAACTGGCCGGAGCGGTGAGTCTCTTCTCCTGACCCCTTTCCCTCTTCCTCCCTTGACCCCCTCTCCATTCCACTTGTGTTTGTGTTAGGGGGTTACAGAAGGTTGCACTGCGAAGCAGAGTTCACATCACTCTCGTTTCTAGTGGGAGTTAATGAGGTTCTTAGAGAGGAATAGCGCAGTGTCACACGTATGCCTTTGGGACTCAGGCATCTTTCTGTCCCAAAACTTCGTAGTGGGTTGAGAAAATAAAAGTAGAAGACACAAGAGGCACACATTTCCCAGCCTGTTCCCAGACGACTTAAGAGGAGTGACATCTGATGCCTTTCTCTGCATCTATCTCCAAGGAGGAAGAAATGTAATTTTCCCTGCTCTACAAGAACATGAATTGGCACACAGGTTTGAGAGTGGGAGGAGAGCACAAGGAGTGGGAATTGAAAGTGTCCTGAAAATTATGGAAGTTAAGCTTAAGTATTTGCTTGTGAGTCCTTTGACAGTACCAGATGACAACATCTGGATTCTTTAACTACCTGAACTGAACTAATACCACTAATGGTGTTCAATTTCTGTCTGATGTTTCCTTCCACTGGTTTTCTGTGTCATCAAAAAGTTAAAAGTTAGTGTTTAGAATAGAAAAAAAAATCTAAAAGTTAACATCTTATAGGCTGTTTAGATATCATCCATCAAATCAGCTAGGAACTGCAGGCAGAGGAATTTCTGTAGACATCTGGTCAAGAAAAGTTTAATGGATCCCGGAAAGTGGAGAGACCTCAAATGTAATTACTAGGATAATTTACCAAAGGTGGAATGACCCAAATAGTCAGAGATGCTGCTGTTTTCCAGCGTCAGTAGCTGTTTATGCTGGCAGAAATAAAGTTAGCTGTTAAGTTCAAATATGAAGTTGTTCCAACTATTAACTACTATATCACTGCTCTACTTAATAAACTGTTAATAGCCAAAGTTACGCACTATGTAGATGACAGATTAATATATATTCCAAATATTTACTTTGTAGGTTTTGACAATTTAAAATGATTGGCTGTATTTTTAATACTTAAAATGTTTTTAAATACTATTTATAGAGCCATACTTAATGCAACCCAATAAAATTGGCTAATAGTTTATGGGAGGAAAAAGGATTACTTTGTCCTGGCATATATCTTTAAGAAAATATTAGAGTGAAGTGAAATGATTTCTCTTATGAAAAGAGAATGATGCCAGAATACTTGCCTTTTAACATCTTGTGACCCCCCCCGCCCCCCAACTCAGAACATCAGCTCCTATGTAAGTAAATTCTAAACTTTGTAAACAGAAGTATTGATCTAGGGTTCTGCCTACATCTCCATCTGATTCCTCCAGTACACAAGTTTACTTATGTGTTACCTTGAGACTCAATACTACATTTATTGAAAATGCCACGTTTTGATTAGTTAACAATTTGGGAATCTTGCCACTTGTAAAAATGTTATGCTTGGGCAGCATACCCTCCAGCAAAACCTTTATTTTCAGACTCTAGCTGATTGTATTCAGTGTACTTTGGGAGAAAAGGCATTAACAAATCATTCTAGATAGCTGGAGACTTCCCAAACACTGCATCTCATCACTTGATCTCCTTAAAAGTCACTGAAGGATTATGCCTTAATTCTTAGAAGTATTTAAGCATGTCTCCAAAATCAAGCACTGCTTTGGTGTGTGGATTTTAGATTCTGTGTCACTGTTTAACAGTGTCCCCTTCTGTCAGTGTGAGTGACCCTGGTAAGACTAAAATAAACCTTGAGATACACTGACAATATTTTTTTTAACCTTGCTTATGTCCAGAGCTGCTTCCTTCACTGCTATTTACTCCTGCATAATATCTTTGACAGTGTAAAGCTATTTTGTTTTCATTTTGTGGAAAATGGCAAAGAAGAAGAGGAGAGTCACAAGATAAGTTCTCAAAAGGTGACTTTTCTGAAGACAAGTTTCTTATTTGTTTTTACTCTTTGTACCGGATTCTCATCTATATTGGATGGTCTCATCTCCTCCTCTCAAGTCCAGTTTATCCTCTGGGTTTGTGATGTTTCACCTTTCAAGTGGTCTTAGATCTTTGCATTCTCTGTACCTTGTTTGACTAACATTAATGAAAAATAACTTACAACTAGGCTGACAAGGAACTAAGTTGTGGTTCTCTATAAGAAAATTTGTTCACTGTGAGTTAAGTTGCCAATAACATAATATTGGTGAGCATTTGAGATAGGGTCTTTTAGGTGCTTTTGAGTTATCTTTGTTTATAAAGCAGTGCTATTTAAAGGGATGGAAAGCTAAATGTTAAAACCTGGGATTAAAGAATGAGTTTCTGTAAACTTCTTTTAAAAGAATGATGATCTTCATTGAGGTGAAATATTGGCACAATTTATCTGAATGAGATAGAGCCTAGGATTTCAGAATATCCATAATCAGTTTTGGTTATTAAGTTCCTGAGGCACAGCACACAAAGATTTATTTAAACATAGTCTCTAACTTTCTAGGATTTCACTTTCTCAGACAATGGTGGTCATTACATTCCTTAAAAGATAAGATACCTAATGATAAATTATTATCTGCATGTACCTGCATCGTTTTAAAGAAAAGACAACAAAGATTCACGTCTCGCCATAATAGTCCAACATGACCAGCAGTTAAAATATGCGCCCAAAGTAGTCAGGGTCCTTATTTTTTTGTCCCAC